ACGATTCGTCATTATAGATAATCCACTCTCCAAAATTTACTTGTGCTTGTGATAAAAATGAAGTAGGATATTTTTCGACTATAATCAAATTATAAACAATACTGTTTATACTCATTCTTTTATAAATTGATGAAAGAAATTTATGATATCGGACATTAATTGAATATTTAGCATTGTGTTTGGGAGGATAATTATAATAAACGGTATTTCCGTCATGTATAATTTCGCCATCCCAATAAATCGAATATAGAAGACTTTTATGTTGTAGGTGCTATCAACTATGTTTGAACGTCCTCCTTAAATAGAGATCGGAGGATTTTTCATAATAAAAAAATAAAAATACATAGTAAAATAATTTTTTCCATTTTTATGATATGTCAAATCAATATAATTGTATGACAAACACTACAAAAGCTTCATAAAGAGATAAAAACGTGAATTATTCCTGTTTGTAAAGTGGAATTTTTTCTTCCACTTTATAAAGTGTAAGAAAAAGTTCCACTTTACAAAGTGTAAGAAATAGTTCCATTTTATAAAGTGTAGGAAATAGTTCCGTTATATATTAAAATATACACGTTATGAGACTAACGGAAAACGTTTAGAATATTAGATAAAGTGGAATTTTTTCTTCCACTAAGCCTATTTTAGTTACTTCCTAAATTAGTGGCTTATTTTGGTCACTTTTATATTTTTGTGGCTTATTTAGGTTCCCTCCTCCTTATATGCCTTGATATTAACTAGTTCAAATATTCTCCTTCAATTTAAATACATATGGGTGTGTTTGGTACGTAACCAAAAAAATATCATTTCAAGAGCATTTGTACGTAACCTTGCAACACACTATAGGAATTGTCGGAGTGGGATATATGGTCACGGCAAGGAGTTGGGGGTGTTTAGTGGGTGAGAATTAAAGATATAATAAACATAAAATGTCGCTTATAAAATTTGTTTTTCTAAAAACAAAATCAAATCTTATGTCTAAACAAACATGGTGACTTATAACATGATAAAAAGGCACTCCAATCAGCTTTTGATAGACCAAACTTTAGTTGTGTAAAAGATTGTTACTAGATACATGATTAATTAGATAAAAAAAAAATAACATATATAATTTCATGATTAAACCTTTTGACTTTAATACACAGGACATGATTATTAAGTATATATTGTTGTCATACTCAAATCATTCCATTAGACACGTGGCATAACGAGTCATTGGTTGATGAAACTGTTGCAAAACTCCAAAGATCACATTGATCTTGTTGATAATCATGATTAGAAGTGGCAGCTCCCAAAATATTAGTATTGTATTGGTGGTCATAATCATTAATTGTTTGGCCATTAAGATGTGAAGCTACAAGACGATCAACGGCAATCCAATTATTCAATTCCCCTTCACATGAATTTGGATGTCCACTTGGGGTATCTAGGTTTGGAAGTTGCATGAATTTGTCATGGAAATTAGTGTCATGATAATTATTCATCATGACATGGTTTTCTTCCTTGCATGTGCTTGATCTCATGTAATGGAGTAGTTGTTCTAAGGGTCCTTCATCATTAGGATAAAGTCTAGTATTTGAAATTGACTGACTTGTTGTCTCGAATGATTTGACATGATTTTTCTTCTTGAATATACGACAAATAACCCAACCTTCTTCTTGTGTGGAGGCAATAGTAGTAATATGATCATCGAATCTATACTCATGCATGATCCAATCAGATTTTTGGCCATGAGGTGCTCTACCTTTGTAGAAAACCAATGTCTTCCTCATACCAATCCTTCGAGAATTTGAATATATGACTTTGTCACGCCCCGTAGCTTTCCAAAATCCAGCAGCTGTTGCTCTATTTGTCCTTGTACCCGTTGGATACTTTTTGTCCTTGTGACTAAAGAAATACCAATCATTTTGTGGAGTTGATCCAATTTTACACTTGTCTATAAATATTAGTTACACAAAAACAAAACTATATTATATATATTATTACCTTAATTAATGTGTATATATATAAATGTAAAAAAATAAAACATACAAACCTTGAATATCCCAAGGTTCAAGCTTATTGAGATCAACTTCTTGGATTACATCCAAATCAATCTTCTCATTTGCAACTTTCTTCTTCAAGTAATATTGTAATAGCTCCTCTTCTGTTGGATGAAATCTAAACCCTGGTGGGACTTGAGATTGTCCATTTACAGAAATACTCATTTCCTCTGGCATACAAATATAATTTAATTTTTTTAAGTGTGGAGAGATCAAGCAACGTAACTTATATAAGTCAAGAAAAAATGAAGATGTGGTTAATTAAAAAAATAATTATATAGCCAAAAATAATGTTGGAATGTCATTTTATGTAGTTATGGTGGGGGCAATTTTAACTATGCATAGAGAAGAGCAAGCCACCTGCATAGAAAAAGAGAGTTTACTGGTATGGCCCAGAAATAGGTACAATATGTGGGATGCCACAAAGAAAGAAAGTAACAAAAAGTACCACTATATATATTCCCTCCGTCCCATTTTATATG